ATCAGGACCCAGGGACCTCAAGGGCAAGGCGGGCAGAGAGGAGGCCCTGCCCCACTGAAGAACCTGATAGAAAGGGCACACTTGAGGCCAGATTGAGCTGATGTAAGAGGAAATGGATCTTATTCCTGCCCCTTCAGCACACGATATGAGATTAGTAAACAAATCCCCCACCCCGTCCCCCAGAATAACCCAGGTGATTTTCAAACTGCTGCTTCTATGCTGTATCTTCCTGTGCTATTGTGCTGTCTCTTTATGGGTGGGGACTTAGTTTCCTCTCACCCTCCTGGCCCTCCCAGAGCTGAGCCCACTGATTTGTAAAGTTCCAGGTTTTAAGTCAGCTGATTGAAAGAACTTGCAAAATTTGGCCCCTCTGGTTTTCAAAGCCAAATGTTATGGGGATTCATCTTTCCCATGTGGGCTCCCCAGTGTGATAACCTATTTCTCTAAACCTCTCTGCACCTGCAGTGTCCCTCCTTCTGGCAGACAGCCCTGCAGGTCTCTTTGGCTCCCAACCATGTCTCTGCCCTTCCTACCCACTTTGATGTGGCCTCTTCTCTCTTTAGCTGTGGAGAGTTAGTTCTGCCAGTCTTTGGGTCATTTTCTGGGTTATTTACACTGATGTGAGTGTTACCTACTTGTAGCCATTGGAAGAGATGAGCTTAGAGTCCTCCTACTCCACCATCTTCCCCGGAAGTCAAAAGAGAGCATTTCAAAGAACATAAAGTACCAAGCTCAACACCATGGTTGTCTGGAGGAACATTTCTTTAAAATGTCACAAATAGGGATGCCTGGTTGGCTCAGTGGGTAGACCATGCAACTCTTGTTCTTGGAGTCTTGAGTTCAAGCCCCACATTGGGCATAGAGCTTATTTAAAAAAATAAATAAAATAAAATGTTGTCACAAATAACATTTATTGTGAAGTGGTTTGTGGCTAGAATGAGATTTGAGAAACAATTGGGAAGTTTGAGCCTTAAGAGATCTGAATTAGGAGAAGGGAACAGATGTATCAGCTTGAGCAATGTTTGAGAAACTTACTTTCCCTGTGAATTAGAAAAGGCATAATTGATAGAATTAGCGTTCTGTATTTATTGGGCTGATTTTTATCTATATCTAAATTTGTATGTTTTGTCCAGTGCCTGATATGTGACCTGTCTGAAAACAGGAAAGATGAATTACCAAACTAATTATTTAGGCCTCTGGCCACTAGTCTAATCACTTCTAATCATTTCTTGATTTGAAACCACTGTTCTTCCTCTGAATCATCATTATCTGTCATTGAATACTTTTGGATATCAATATGATAGTATGGATTTTGCATATTTTGTGTGCCAATTAAGGGATGAAGGCTCATGTAAATTTTAATATACTAAATTTTATGTCAAAGTAAAAATTCTTGCTTAGATTTCAAATGTACATCTGTATGTGATCTCAGCACCCCAAAGTTCTTTATTCTCTTGACCATCCAATCAGCCTGGGCAATCTCCAACTCTGGGGAAACTCTCTTATCCATTCTCTTAACTTTTCACAACTCTCAAGTATGTTTGCAAAAGTCATGTAATCCTAATGATTAATTACTTTTGAAATTCCTTTTATCTCATTCTAGGTGAACACTTCATTTCCTTTGTTTTGACTCCTTTATTCCATTCCTTACACTCATTTTCCAGACTTGCCCTTTTACTTCCCTTGAGCTCCCCCTATTACTTTCCCACTGCCTATCTCAGTCATTCTGACACAAAAATATTTTTCCTTCTTTATTAAAGGAAAAAGTGTCCTTTTCCTTTCTAAAATTTAACCTTTCTCTCTTCTTGAATACCAGACTCCATCTTGTCCAGGAGTTCAACCCTCTCCCTTTTATCTGCAATTCTCACTTCCCACAGGCCCCTTTTTCTCAGCTTACAGATATTCTGATTGTTCTTTATCTTCCCAAAGCATATTCTCCTACAAGTCTCCTAAGGGCTACACATATCTATCAACCTTCCTTCACCTCCATAGTTATAACTTAAGAATAGTCTACACTCACTTTCTCTGTGTCCACTTGCAATTTACTTTTCAATCCACTTGAAACTCATGTCCTTCAAAACTTTTCTCCCATGATCACTGCACTGTTCTCTATCAATATATCACCATCATTGCTTGCTGCTTCTGTAGCTGAATTTCTCACTCACTCTTCAAGCAATTTCACTTCTCTGATGAAATAGCACCTACCACAGTGGTTCTCAACTTTGGCTGCACTTTGGAATCACTTGGGAAGCTTTTTAAAATTTCTGATCCCCAGGCCACACCTCAGGCCAATTACGTGGAAAATTCTAGGGTTGGGACCCAGGCATTAGCAGTTTCCTTATCTCTCCAATGTGCAGCCATAGTTGAGAACTCTTGCGCTAACACCTTATCTTTGGTTTCCATACCAAAGTGCTTTCCTAAATGTTCTGGCATGGAGGCAGTGTGATGTTGGAATCTGACAAATCTGAGTTTGAATCCTGATTATACCACATATTATTTATGGGACTTTCAGAAAGTTATTTAATGTCCATGCATCCCATTTTCCTTATCTGCAAAGTTAGGATACCAATACCTAACTCAAAATTTGTAAATATTAAATAAGTTAGCATATGCAAGATATTTAGTACATAGTAGGCCCTCAGGACAGGTGCTTTCTATGGCTCTCTGACTATTCCCTCCCCTCTCACATATGCAAAGTGTTCTTGCTCCATCTTCCTCCCAAAACCATACTATTCCCTTCCTCCCTCTTTTCTCTGTCTGTATCTGTATTTTCTCCCTTACCTTTAAATTTTAGTCCTAGTCAAATGATTCCCCTCTTTAGTTCCGTAGGCCAGCTTCCCTCCTGTGCTCTGTGCTCCTTTTCCAAGTCTTTGTCAGACATCTCCTGATGTATGTAGCACCTAGGCTTCTTGCTTTGCAAACCACAGAAACTAAGTCTTATGGATTTAAGTAGAAAAGCAACCAATTAAAAATATATTGTCTATCTCTCATCATTCCTGGGAAAGCTGGAAAACCATGTTGGAAAACTGGCAAGATTGTAGGGAGGTTTCATAGCTGGGACTCTGGCTGAAATCATTCAGCAGAACCAGTGTGGTGATAACAGTACTGCTGAATGCTGAATATTGAATACTGTAATTTCTAATGGATACTGGATCCTGCCACTACCATCACCTCCAAAAGAATTCTCCCCTGGCCTTGCATTTTTGAATCACTGACTTCAGATTCAAACCCCAGGACAGTCATGTCTTTTTGGCCAAGCCTGGTCTCACAATTGTACCCTAACAGCAGGAGAGTCAGAAAGCAAATATTTAGCTTTTTTTGCTTCTGTGTTGGGAAGTGGGCTCTTCTTTCCAAAAAGACTTACACAGCAGGGAAATTTCTCAGAGTGGGATGGACATTCAAAAAAGGCAAATGCCCACTATAATGTCCTATAAATACCTCAACCTTACTATGCCTCAAACAATCTGAATTTTACCCCACCCTCATCCCCACCCCTGCCCAAACTGGGCTTGCCAGTTGGTTTCCTTATTCAGTTGATATCACAATTCTCTGATATTTCTTGTGCAATTTCCATATTGTCCAGATTTGCTTCTCCTCTTCTCCAGGCTAGATCCTACTTCTTCAATCTTCTACATCTATATCCACCTGCATCAAATGCACATGATGGAAGCCTTCTCATCCTTCAAGACTCATGTCAAAAATCACCTCCTCCATGGGCCTTCTCTGATCCCTTAATTAGGATGCCTTTCCCCTTTCTCTGTGTTCCCATAGCACTAAATTTTGTACTTACTTAGTTGTTTATTTATGACCTTCCCTTACTATATTGTTAAATCTGAAATCAGGGGTGCATTCTATGTAATTTTGCCTTCTCATCACCTAAACTCAGTGCCTTGTACATAGTAAGTCACTCAGAATATGATTTGTCAGTTGAAATGCTTCATGCTAAAGTTTTCCCCTATCATAGGTAATTACACATATCACCAAATCAAAGACATCATTGAATATAAGCTGCATTGTTTTATGTGCTACTAAATTTTTAAAATGCCAATAAAACCATGATACACTGTTCACTGTAAGATGCATCCTGATTTGTTAGATATAAAGATGTGTAAAATATTGCACCTTAGAATTTATGAAATACAATATTTATCATTGTGGTTATAATAGCCATAGAATTTATTCTACAAAGCTATTAGTTATGGATAATTTGCAGTATATTAAAAAACAAATAATTATTTGGGGTTAGGTTCTCTCAAACCCTGTAGCATGGATACTCACACTAATCCATATATGCTTCATTTATTTTTGATGTTATACATTCGACAAATGTCTTCTCTGTTATCCGAGACATTTTAAGTATTATGACATTTACATTATCATAGTATTCTTTAGGCATTATGGCTTGGGTCTAAAATTTATGAGGGTACTTTTAAATTACATGATTCCTGTGTCAGGGTCCTGACATTTGAGAAAGTGGCTATTTCATTTGTTTCTTCCCTCTCTAATCCGATGTTCTGGGAGGGGCTTAGAGAGAAGCTCAAGGCTCATGACCTGGTATGGGGGCAGCAGCAGGGAAGAGGGTAATCCTCTGCAAGTGGCTAGACACAGGGAAGTTCTGGCATAGGCAAGTTTCCTAGGAGAAATCACCTCACCAAGAGATCCACAGATAGTGTATGTATGTGTTTTCTAGGTAAAAAGAAAATGTTGCCCAACGTGAAATCTGTTGTTTTTAACTTGGCTTGGCTCAGGGTGCTCGTGATCATGCCTCTGACAGCCCCAATTGCACACAGATAATAAGAACTACACAGATACTTCAGCTCAGTTTAGCTAGAGCATTGAAACAGGAGATGAATGAATGGTGATATGTTCATTAAAAATGGTTTTTAAAAATATTCTATTGCTTATTCTTTGGTTTTGCTTCGAAAATTATGGACAAATGGAAATGCTTTCAATTTAGTGTTCACTTTTTCCTTTTTCTCCCCCCTCCCACCTTTCCCTAGGCCAAATCTAATTGATTACACCTTTTGCCTGGTAAATAAGGCAGGGCCCTGCCCAGAGTTCCTCTCCTCCAGAGGTGGGTAAGTGAATTTATCAATCTTGTGTCCATCCCATCCCCCATTGTTCCCACAAGGCTACTTAAAATAACTGTGGAGTCATTGTACCAGAGGCTCCCTCAGCCAGGGAGCATAACAAGATTTCATAACAAGGCAAGTGGGGAACAGGCTCTTCTGGGTGAAAATGAAGCTTCACTGCCTATGTTTTGTTTAACCCCAGCCATTTTGTCATTTAAAAAAAGCCTAGGGCTACTCTGAACCTTGGTTTGCTTGAAGGCTTCTGTGAATGTGCTCAGTGGATATATTAACAAAAGCTCATTTGGCCAAAATGCCATATATATCTTGGGAAGCAAAGAAAGCTTTTTTTTTTTTTTTTTAACACAAATGTTCTCTGAAAATATTGACATTTTATTTCATTATTTAGATTCAACTGCAAGTATCTGAACCCTCAGACTGACATTTATTTTGCTTGATTTCTCCTTCACCAGAAAGAGAAAACATTAAAGATCACTCTCCACACTTTCACAAGCAACTTTCACAAGGGTAATAGCTGTTGACATCTGCTTAAATTTGGGAGTAATTTGTTCCTTACATAACAATATTTCAGAAAGCACCAGAGTGCAGGACAGAGTGCGCTTGTCAGAAACAAGGCTTTTAGTATGGGAATAAATTATTTAAATCACATTGCTTTCTGAAGCCCAGAGGACAAAGCTAAGGAGGTGGGGGCCCAGGGAGTGAATGAGATTTAAAGTCTCTAGACTTCAGTTGGAAAACATCTTGGGTGCAATCTGTTATTTTGGGAGATTTTAACTCTGATTTATGGTTAACCCATAGTTCATGGGATTTGATATTTTCAGTCCTGTGACTGCAGTGTCTTCAAAGAAGTCTGTAAACCCATCTTTCTCCAAGTGTAGTCTTGGGCCAGCAGCATCAGCATCACCTGGGAACTTGTTAGAAATGCAAATTTTCAGTCCCTACCCAGACCTGATGAATCAAAACTCTGGGGTTGGGGCCTGTCAATCTGTATTTTAACAAGGCCTCCAGGGAATTCTGGTATACATTCAAGTTTGAGAACCACTGGTCTAAGACAATGGTCTTGTCTGAATAATTTTCCTAAAGAATATATCTTTTCTCCCATGTAATGATAATTAGAACCTGGTTTATCAGGTAAATAACCATCTTGTCTATTCCCATCAAATTTATCTACAAACAAGTACCACTTGAGAGTAGTCAGGTGTATAAAGTTTAAAGTGATCCTTATATGCAGACAGTAAAAAGCCTGTTTGGTACACTATTTTGTTATACATAATTCTAACACTGGTCCATATTATAAGTAAATTATGTGGGAAATCTGAGGGAAGCACACCAATTACAATTTCAAGCATCCTGGAAGATGGAGGGCTTCCTAAAATTTAACTACTCCCATACATACAGTTTATGCTTTACTATCTATGCCTTTGCAAATACTGTTCCCACTGCCTAGAATATCATTCTTCCTTTCCTACCTGCCCTACTCCTACTTCTTCAGTCCTGAGGAGGCCTTTCCTCAAGCCCTAAACTGGCACCTGGTCCTTAGCTTGTTCTTAACTTGTAACAACAAGTGGTATTATAATTGTTTTCTTGTCTCTCTGTGTATTAGCTATAGTTGCTACTTGAGTGAAGGGCTATCTTTAATAACTGTGTTCCTCAGTGCCTAGCACAGTACCTGGCTCAGATTGGGGCTTAATAACATTATGAATAAATGAATGAATTAAAAACTACTTACCCCATATACAGGCAACTTGTCATGCTCAGAAATTAAAATGTTATTTATGTTCTCAAATGTCACCTCTGTAGGATAATCTCTCCTTTAGTTTCAGTTTTTGTTCATTAGAGAATAAAACAGTCCAGGGATTATATCAGCAGTGTACTATGTTTTATATAAAATACTCCAAAGATATGAATGAGGGTTTAATAGATTCCTAGGAGAGCTAATTTCAAAGGACTTTTTTTTTTAAGAACTGTCACACCCTGTTGTTTTATTTTACACAACTGCATTCATCTACCTCAGGCTAAATGTGCATATCAGGAATCTTTCACAATTTTAAACAACGAGAAAAGTAATAAATGTTTCAAAAGGAAGTTGAAGGCAGAGATACCATCTCAGTACCTAATAAGGTGATTGGATAAAGAATTAATGCTGATTGTCTGGAAGCTAGATAAAATGCAGGAAAAAAAGCTCAGTAGTCTAATAGAACCAAAATGAAAGGGATAAGCACAGTTAGATTAAACAAATTAATGAAATAATGTACATAAACATAGAGGGCCAGGTGTCACAGACTGTTATTCATCAACTAAGTATGTTGGGGAAAGCTGCTGTGATGAATACTAAGAAATAATTTGCACAGCAAGTTCCAAAATATTCACAACTTGAATTTTATTGCATTTATTGCATTTTACTGCATTTTGGCTCTTCAACTCTAGTGGATTAGAAGACATCTTTCTCCCTGTCTGATATGTGTCTAAATGAGTGTGAACAAATTGGCCAAATGGCCAATTTTTTTCAGGACACTGAACACAAATACTAATGGGTAGGAAGGATTGGCAACCCACCCCATCTCTGAGGTCATTTTGGAAAATCTGCTCTTAAAACAAATCCAAGATCAGATTTAAAATGTTGTCCAGTGTCCTTTCCTGAAAGAACAGTCTTGGTTTAAAAGATGGCATGCAAACAGGGTGTAGCCTGGTTGGCGTGATGCTAGGGAACAAAACTATTCAATTTTAGTACTTCCAGCTCTTTATTGCTAATATTCTTGGGTGTTAAACCCAGGGAAGCAAATGGAGGAGGAGGTGATTGTGTTGGAAAGGAAAGGGAAGTTCTTGTGTGAATGCCTAATATTTGCTAGGACTCATACTCAGAAGTCTAAGAATGATTCAAGTACTCTGTTGCATAGAACATCATTCAGAGAACTTGTCCTGTTAATTGAAAGACAGAAGTTTCTTATTCCGTATTTCCTGAGAGGCAAAAGAATTTAACTCCTTATACCAGAACTAGAGAAAGGGATAGTTTTATAAAAAGACTGGTTACTAATTTGGGAATCAATATGTCAAATCAGGACATTTCCTTAAATAGGAACACCCCAGCCTACTAAGGCTAAAGCCTTAGCTGGATTTCATTGAGAGGTTCAGCCAGTCACTGCTACCCCATTTCCTCTCCATTATTTGTGCCCACCTACTCTTGGTAAATCAGAATATAAACCTGCTCATGAAAGTCAAAAGTCATTGTGTGTTCATCACTGTCATCTCCCACACTCTTCTCCACACTCTAACCTAGACATACCAGGGAATTAGGGGTTGGAAATTTAGCACACTGTTTTTGACCTGGGTCCTAATATAATATTTTGAAACCTAGAGACAAAGGTTTACATAGGGCATGGAACTCATGTATTAATTATCAAATAAGAACTGATAGAAAGGGTGGATTTGTACTTTCAGGGTTTGGGAAATGAGATTTTATTCAAATTTATTGTTCTAAATGTGTGATCTCATTAAAAAATTACTACCAAGCACCTGTAAAATAAAAAAGCTTGTTTATAAGAGTATGTAAAATCAAATGGATTTATTATTTAGGACTTGATCTCACCAAAACATGGAAGCTCAATGACTTTAAGGAAATTAGCATTTGACTTATTCCATAGTCTAACCTGCCTGGTACATTATAAATGCATTTTCTTTGACAGGTTTATTTTTTCAGCTATTTTGAGTTTAATTGGGGTCCTCTGTATAAACCACGGACAGCTTTGGGAAATGTGGCTATTATTTATAGAACACCACAAGCCTACACTGTACTTTCAGTAGAACTTAAATTGGACCGAATCTCTCATGCTATCAGCTCTGTATTCTTTTTGGGGGAAGGGAAACTGCATTTTTTTTTGCCTTTGTTTGTAATATTAGAAAATGAAAAGATTTAAAATGTGTTTTGATTTAATGAAAGAAGTGGAGAAAAAGGAAACAAGTAGAATAATGGAGTTTTGAGCCTTTTTTTTTCTAAGAAAATATACTATGACTAAATTACACAGAACAAAATTGTTACAACAGGCTCCTGTATTAGATGTTCACAGGGAAAACCGGAGATTAGAGAACAGCCAGACACCCTGCTGTGAGAGTGAATTCTTTTGGAAATTCTGGAAGGCAGAGGGAAAAAAATGAGTTATATGAAGATGTGAGATATGTTTGTGGGGGTGGGAGATGAGAGGTCTATGAAGAGAAAGGAGACAGCATTAGGCTGCAAGAATGTCACAAAAAAATAAGACACAGAGTCACAAGTGGGCGAAGAGAGAAAGAGAAATGCCTAGTGGAAAACACTAAGGGAAGAGGAGGGCCAAGAGGAGGAGGAAGCTTACCCACAGAGTACATTCGTGAGTATGAAGGGATTTAAATCATCAGTACTGGGGAACATTCTCTGTGGGGTCAGAGGCAAGATAGAACGTGCTTCACACACACAAATGGGCCTTAGATCACGCCATGTCTCTAATTATAAGGTTCTAGTTGGATGTCTTTGCATACACCTGGTTGGGACTGTGAGACAGGGCTGGAATGAGCTCAAGAGCAGAAAGGGACTATAAAGACCACTAGGCCTGAAGACCACTTAAAAAAAAAAACTTTTTACAATCCTCTAATTATTGCTCCATTTTCCAAGAGTATCTGGGAAATAGTATAACAAAAACACTATAACTGGTCCATCTGATATGAGGCTCCAGAGAAACCTCAACAAATGTCTATTTGGGAGAGAATGAAGATTAAAAACTATCCTCAGGGTCTTAATTAAATGTTATGTTAATTTTATGAATTCTAGGTTTACATATGAAACCACTGGACTTGTAATGATAGCTGACTTGCAGAAACACTGTACTTGGCTTTCTGTGATGCAGGATGATTATCAAACTCTTCTTTCATCCTTACTACCCTCCACCCTCAAATAGCCATGCTCCTTATAGTAAGGAGACTTCTGACATTCTGCACAGCCTTTTATGGAAGCAGA